TGACCTCGTGATCCACCCGTCTCGGCCTCCCAAAGTGCTGGGATTACAGGCTTGAGCCACCACGCCCGGCCGGCACCTGGTTTCTAAGAGGACTGGCACTTGATTCCTGAGGGCCGTTAGGACAAGGAGGTGAAAGCTGTAGATTTTGCAAGGACAAAAGAAGCAAGTTGGTTTTCTGGAGTCTGGGGCATCTGGGATCCTTCAGGCTGAGGGCCCAGGGCCAGAGGTCTGACCCCTTATGACAGGACTGTGATGGCCAGGCGCAGTGGCTCATGCCTGTAATCCCATCACTTTGGGAGGCCAAGGCGGGCAGATCACTTGAGGTCAGCAGTTTGAGACCAGCCTGGCCAACATGGTGAAACCTCTTCTCTACTAAAAATACAAAAATTAGCCGGGCTTGGTGGTGGAAGCCTGTAATCCCAGCTACTCAGGAGGCTGAGGCAGGAGAATTGCTTGAATCCAGGAGGCGGAGGTTGCAGTGAGTCAAGATTGCACCATTGCATTACATCCTGGGTGACAGAGCGACTCCGTTTAAAAAAAAAAAAGTCAAACAAACAAACAGGATTGTGAGGCCTAGAGAGTTCAGTGGAAGGGCCTGGGGTTCCTACTGGACAGTTGGAAATCTGGGGAGCTGAATTTCCCAGAAGCTGGGGGACCAGCTGGCTGGGTTTTGGGGAGAGAAGGTGGAGGTGGATGGACTCAGTGTGCGGGAGTGGGGAGGGGGAGGCTGAAACCAAACTTTTTTGGGTTGCAGTACTCCAGTCCTAAATCCCGGGTGGGAGTTAGACTGAGAGTGAAGGTCCTAATCTCCAAGGTTGGGGGTGGGGAGAGGAGGGGGCCACTGAGAGTTTAGGCTCCTTGCCAGAAGGGAGGGGATATCTCTTGGTTTTCCGCGGCTGGGATCTCTATGAGAAGATATCCTTTATTGGGAGGTCAGAGCTCTTATTAGATGTGGGTCCCTGAGAATGGAAGCCTGGGGAGGTTGGGCCGTTTAGAGGCTGGAAATGTCTAGGTCACTGTTCGATAGAAGAAGGAAGTCTGCTCACAGGGTCTGGGGTGCAGAGCTCTGAATACTGAAAGAAAAGGAAGTTGAGAGATGGGGTTTTCAGAGCTCGTGGAAGACAAGCGTTTTGTCCTGACTCTTGGGTTGTGGCAGGAGGCAGAAGGAGGACGCTTTATTATTATTATTATTTTAATTTATTTTTA